TAGCTCAGTAGTAACGTCGCCGACTACAAAACTCGGTGACACGGGTTTGAATCTTAGGCGGAACATCAGTTCCGGCGAGGTTACGAATACTTCTTGCTAACAACTGTCAACAAACACTAAACCTAGGTCCAAGGCTTCCTGCCGATTGCCTGTAACCAACTAAAACGCCCATATATCCCTAAATTTAAATATATACCGTCGTAGTTGTCAGTATAAAAACTTATGCAGACGATTTCTTAATGGATATAAAACAAATATGGCAACAACAGAAATACTGTAAATATAAATGATTGCTAGACCTGCATCACTCCTTATGACGTTTAACAGAACATTCATCGTCTGTATCGATAAAATGTTACCCATATTGCTTCGTCTGCAATTGATAAAGTTCTATAAACTTTTGTTAGGATATTTTAAAAGTTCACTAGTGCCTTATAGTTGAATCAACAATTAAAATTTCTAGTTGAACCTGGTGGTTGTTAAAGTGATCCACTTATTAATCGACCCGCTGTTATGATGCGGAGTTATGAGAACATACGAAAATGTTTAACGATTGATACTCGAGAGTTGAGATGATTCAACCTGAGTGATTCGCAAAGAGACATCAAAAGACTGGAAATCAGATGAGTTTATAGTATCTCTGACTGAAAACGTTTATTCGTGAATCCGGACCCTATTTATAGAGTCTACAGTAACCTTGAAAGGCAAAGAATAATTAGTACATTTAAAGAGGCAGGAGCCAATCAGAACGCTAGCGGGTCATACGAAATATGACCCATGCGTGGGGAAAAGAGCGCGAAGTGAAACAAATCAAATATACCTGAACTGTAAGTATGGAATACAAGGGATATATGCATCCCTAACACTTACTTAGTGGCTTCTACTATAATTTATTCAGCAGTTGAGTCAATATTGCTGAATTAATAGAAATTTTAACCAGGTGGAAGTATGAAACCTGAGAATGATGGTCATGGCAACAAAAGTAGGAGTATACAAGCAGTACATTGTGAGTACGTCATTTTCCACCAACCAATTCATGAAAATGACAAAGTTCCATTTTACAAGTAGTTGAAGTGTTTTTAGATTTCGGAAACGTTACATATTTACTTCGGATGTCTTCCTTTACAACTAGTGTTCATGTACGTCAAGTTATTGGTGCTTCAAATAAATGAATATGATGAAGGTACAAGAAAAAGATACACCAATAGTTACTCATTAAACAGTTTTTTCGTAGAGTTCACGCTTATAAACAGTACACAACTCACCAACAGAATTTTCAGCATTGGCAGTTCATCTGGTACTATTGTATCAGTAATACAAAAGCACCTCCCAAATATCTATTCACATCCTAGTTGTATTGACGCACAAGGAATGCTGTGTTACAATAAGCTTACCACCTTTAAACTTCTTTGATTACAGACTATTTAAATACAATTCGACAGCTTCATTAAGGCAAAACCCAGTACATTCATGGCATTTAATAACGCCTAATTCTCTCATTCTTCATGTCACCATTCAATTTTACTCGATTTGTTTCAGGAGACCTCTTAACTTCAGTGAGTTTCACAATCATAACATTAATATATTTTGTTTATAAGGTGGTTTTCATCACGGAATGAAATCAGCCGGAAAACAACTGAAAACCTGCGAGCGCTGGACAGCTTTACCGTCCTAGTACTAAACTCCTTAGCAGTACCCATCCACGACCCCGACAACGACCGAACTCAGGACTCTCGGGTTTCTCGACCAGCTTATTAACACCATCCAAACACTGGGTCACAATTCGATGGTCCACTTTCCTACTTTTGTCAATTTGCGATATGGCGCGAATATCCACCATAATCTTCAGCTGGCATCCACTTTACTTGCGACTGGTTGACCCCATAGGTCACACCTTCTGCATAGAACTTCAAAATATCCATCTCGAAGCATGTCACTAATGAGTACCATATAGCAATGTATTTTTAAGGTTCATAGGGATTTTATTTTTTAAGTAGTATTCACCACAGGCTGACATCATTAGGAGGACCATTGAAAAGCTGTGGGCCCTGGAACGCTGTTTCCTCTTAGTATGAGGCTCCTTAGTGTAGTACACTCCCACGACCCCACCAGGGATCGAACTCATGACGTTCAGGTTTCACGGCGAATACATTAACAAGCGTCTAATCAAGAAGTTCAATACTTACGTACCTTTGGACCTCCAATGGTAATAAATTAACTTACATTCTGTCAGCGTAAGGACAAAATGTCTACACTGCCTACATTATATCAAGGCAACATAAGTCATCGTAATACCTAACGACTAAAAATCTGTTAGTGATACTTCTGACTCAGTCACTTCTTATTCAACAATGTTACTAAACATACTTCTTACTACTTTACTTCAATTATTTTTGTCAGAAGCCTCAACAACGTGTATATATCTCTACATCCTTTACCCATATGCTACACATGTGTAACGCTTCTGTTATTATCTTGATTTATTAACATTCCGTTCAATTTAGTTTTTCATTCCACTCTAATTTGATCTTTTAAGTCGTACTAGGAGTTGATCTACCTGAACAGGCAGCTATGTATGATGTATGATAAGTCATCAATTACCAGTTCCCGAGTGGCATATTGACGTCCACTGATTGGTACGTCTTTATAGCCTTTAGAGACTTAAGGAATTGTATACCCGATATTATTGTTAAATGTACTAATTTGATATTTCATACTAGAAGCTATCCCGATGTTGCACTCATTGAATTTACTTCATTTACCATTAGGATTCGAAACCCTACACTTTAAAGCTGATGACCTGTGACTTGATCTGGCTAGAAGATAACACTGAACAGCATAAAATACCTAACTTTCCGAAAAAAAATCTCAAGGACATTTCTATTTTTAGTCTATGTTGAATTTAGAATTCTTCATTCCTGTCGTACATTAATTTTCTTTATACTTCCCTAAATTTTTACAATTCTAGTCATCGTGTTTTGTTTTTAGGATGCAACTTTTTGTGTATTGAAGTTGTCATCTGTTTGTATAGGTATTACAAATACGTTTATCTAATATTTCTTGTTTATTTGTAATACGTGACAATAAACTGAAGCTGTTTTAAGTGGAGAATGTAACTTTTTCTATAAGCGTTAAGTGATGTCTTATCAACGTTAACCCTATTTCTCCTGAGAATGTATTGTCATTTGTACTGCTCTTTGTTCTTAGTATCTAATCATTCCTTACGATGTACCGCTTTGCTTGATTTTCCAATGCTCTCATGCCTAAAGTTATACGTTCCACATATATTTACATTTTTATCAGTTTTCATAATCCTTTCACTCTACTACACACTGTTACAGTGATCTTTAGAGGTACAGACAGACAACTAAGGTGGAAACTAGCACAAAAGTGCATCATTTCAGGTTGTCACACATATCATCATGCAAAGAAGAAGTGAATAAAAAAGGAATTATGTTCAAGTAGGAAAAAGTTTGAGTTGATAGAAAAATTAAATAACGGTTGACGAAAATATCCGAGACTTCGAAAATGACAAAGTTTTTAGATCTGTGGTCGACCTAAGGCCATGACCTCGGCCACTCAGTCTGAACTTTCCTACACGTCTCCTATCAACAGTTGAGGACTTGATAAACTGGTGTTACTTCTTGGTCCGACAACCTATAGCTCTCTTCCAACCCAATCATATCATGGTCAATATCGCAATTCCACGTAGGGGATTGGTCTGCAGGTGAAACATGCCAGAAAAGGTCCACAAAAACTATGGTTCAAAAACTTTCAAAGGAATCTCATCTACCTTTAACAGCTGTACCACAACCGTACAATAGGACAGAACGAACTGTAGTGCAGTGTACCTATGAATTAGATAACTCTTTGGCGTTATAAGTGCGGTAGGTTGGCGAACGTCAAATGCGGTTCTTGTATCCCAGCTGCGATTTCGTAACCGACCATATCATTAGGATTGATCTAATTCCCAAAGCAAGTGAGATGGTCAATGTATTCCATCACCTATCCTAAGACTAGTAGTCAGGTCAGATTAGTCTTGAAACATGAACGTGTGACAGACATAGGACGTATATTGAACATAATCAAAACTCTGCTGAAAATGTTGTCTAAAAACCACATATAAATTCCCATGGAAGAACAATTTCTCGTTAATTTTAACCCATAAAATGAGTTGCTTGTGTTTCAGAAAAGCTGCCCAAAACTTTCATACCTGATTTTGGAGACATGTCAACTACCACAGATCTCCTTCTTAGTATTCGATAGACTTCTGATGTGTTGCTAGGTTTCATTAGGAAGTTTCGCTTTCGAATAAGGACAGTAGAAAAGTCGAGTTAGTACTTGAAGATTAGACGCCACATAGAATTAACAACTACAAGAAAGGTGACACAAATTTCTAAGAAGGCAACTTTTTGACACTGAAGCTCATAAAGACTCACACGTGTCGTCCGTGCTTCAATTTTGGTCAGTACTAACGCGACAAGGTGTATATCCCCCTCCCCAAAGAAACCACTTAACGAATAGTTACTATGATGTCTCAAGTTTACCTAGTGGATGACATAAAATTTGAGTTCGTGACAGTTTAGAGAAGTATACTGTAGAATTCATCGAAAGAAGAATGAAGAGGCCGCACGAGAACATGATGCAATATGTATGACGGTTTCCCCTTGCTGACATCTGTTTAGGAAATAATGCATTTCATCCCCTCTTGCCACGTGGCAAATGAAATTCCTCCTACTCAAACGCATCAAAGGCGCACAATTTCAGTCCACCAATATTTTGTGTCACTGAATTCATGGAGTAGATATGGATGTTTCACTAGGACTGATTATATTATGCACTAAGAGGGAATTACTCTACTCTATCCTGTTTGAAAAAATTCATAAAAATATTGAACCGCGATCAAATAGCTAACTAGTTGTCCAAATACTAGGTGAGAAGAGGACACTAACAGCTGGGTTGTTTCTTATCGACAAACAAATGAATTTCAAGACATTAGGTAGATGAATAAATTTGTAATTTAGAAAAATAAATCATAACACAACACTTTATTAATGCAGGAAGTACACATGCGATAGACATTCGCATGGTAAAAGGGATGAACGACTCCCATATTTCAAAGTTAACAAAACAATCGTATATTTTGTTCACTTTACACAGTCTTTGATTAATTTCAAGAGGAACAATTCTATCATGAAGATCTGAAAGACAAACAAACGATGAAACGAATTAGACTGCAAAAAAACTAGAATGATCAGTTTGCAAATGATCTACAAATTGCACGGTCGATGTTGACATTATTCATAGCTGAGTAGTTTTCCAACTGCCTAGCTGTGGCGTCAACAAGGTTTCCGATGGAATCTAATCAGCGGAAATCACAAGGTGTGATCTCTTGACACAAAAGTGTCGTGTACTAGCAAAAGTTACTACGCTTGAGCAAAGTGAATGGTTAATAACCATTCAGGCTGATATCTAAATTTTGCCACCCGGATCAGAGTGTTCTAAACACCGGATGACCATCTCGTTCGTTTGGGGCCGAGCTTGGCAGTGATGTACCTGGACTAATTCAGCTCATACAGCCGAATTAGTTCACACCACCTGAATCTGGCTAGCTGACCTGCATAGACTGAATGGTCAATTTACAAATGATTAGCAAATTGCACAGTCAACAGTGACATTCATCAGGTCAGGTTGAGTGGTTTCCAACTACTCATATTGTTCAATAGTAGCATATTTCGCTAATCATAAAAAACATTGTTTTAGGACACACTAACTTATACCACTTGTTATTTAGGATACAGAAATGACACTACTCTACACTAGGTTATGAATAGTTCACCATCATAGAACAACGAAATTTCATCACCTACATTCATCAAAATCGATTCAGAAAGCGACAAAGACGCAAGCTGGAGGATCAGACTAGATTTACGTACGTGAATTGACCGAACATAAATAGGATCAACGTTGTAATTCACTTTTGGCGAATTCTTGCTAACTCTCATTTTATAGTAAATCCGATAAGAAAAACATAACTACTCATGTCGGTGATCAACTAATAAGCATGGCCTACCTATCCAACATAAAAAGCATAACTTTTATTAATATGCAGTCGAGACGTAGTAAACTGATAACCAAGAAACCATTTCTCGTACTCGAATAAACCTTTAAAACTCATTCCTAAATAAATAGAAACATGGTAAATACAGGTAATCCACTCTCGATAGATACAGTTTTAAAAATTGATAGCTGCTTTTCCTGTTTCTTCTAAAATCCTCAAATTTTAGCATAATCTTACACAGCTAACTAATAATGTAAGTTAGTTAAGAGTTTCAGTTTCCGCCTTATTAGTAGTTATTCAACCAGCCATAGTGATGCATTTTGAACAGTTTGTTCCATGTTCACAACGTTTTTTCGAAGCTGTGAATCAATTATGAATGCAACAGAAAAAAAAGTCATTCAATGAGAAAAAGTTATAAAGGCTTACCTTGGGTTAAGACCTGATGCAACAAGACTGGCAGCAGCAGCAAGTCTTGCGTGTACACTGTCAAAAGTACTGCTGGATACACCACCGGGAATACACCCACTAGTTGCAGGTGAAGGAGAACTGACTGTTTGACCTCCCGAGTTGGAAGTGGAGTTATTAGTACAACTGCTTGTATTTGCACTTGTTGAAGTCCCTGTAGTTGTGCCTCCTAATGATCCAGCAACACCACCTAAAGATGAGGGGTGCGGAGGAGGAAGTGGAAGGCCCAGACCGGCTGCTAATCCAGGAGGAAAGAAGTTAGCATATGCTGAGGCAGGAGGGAGGCCAGCTAAATGAGCTGCAGCGGCCGCAGCAACGGCGGGAGGAGGAGGTAGGGCTGGAATTGTTGTTGGACCACCACTGTTGGTAAGAATACCACCACCGGCATTCGACAGGCCTATTCCCGAGCCACCAATGAGACTGGCAGGGAATGGAAGACTGTTTGCACCTACTCCTAAACCACCACCTCCACCAGCTGCGGAAGAGAAAAGACCTGCAGAAAGACTGAATGCTGCAGCTGCAGCCGCAGGATGAAGACCACGTGCAGCATTTTCTAATCCTGAAGCAACGCTGTTATTGAGAGCATTAACGCCGGGAATACCTGCTGCAAGGGAAAGGTGACTGTTGTTAACCAAAGGATTGTTCCCAATATTATTTGACAAAGAATTACTGGAGCAACCATGAGAAAAGCCTGATGAACCACCATTGGGCATAAATTCTTTGTTGACACAGTTTCGAAGACAATCTGGTATACGATTTAAAATAGCTCTCCGAATTTCATTTGCAGCTGCTTCACGCATTTCACGCATACTTGATTCACTGTAAAACGCCATATGAGGTGTGACAATTAGGTTTGGAGCATCTTTCAAGGCACCTATATTGTAAAATTGTAGTAATTATAAGGAAAATGATATGAATTCATATTGAAAGTAGCTTATCAACCTAAACAGAAACATGAACAGAAATGAATATTTACGCTCAACTCAACAGGAACTTGACAGTACTCATTTAGGACAACGATGAAGTCATTTATCCGTAAATATTCAGAACAATTTAATCAGATAGAAGTTTTTCCATGCATGGGAATGAAAAATGACATTTAACTGAAACACTTAGTCTTAGTAATTTCAGTCTGAGTAATAAATACGCTATAATATTTATGGCTATGATACCATTTTCCAGCCAACAATTCTACTAGAAAATGTAAAATCCAGGTATGATTATTAATATTATTATTAGTAGTAGTAGTAGTAAGGATTAGAAAAAATCACGAAGTATTCAAATTCCCTGGACTACTATTTCAATTCCATACAAATGAATAATTAGTCAAAGTGGGACTAACTTAGACAAATCAACGTAAAATATTGCATACAAGTGTATCAGTTCAAGTGGATCTATGCAGTTACATGTAAGAAGAGTACAATTATTTCCGCTTTATTGATTTACATTGTTATTTTGACCTTCAATTTAGCCTTCCTACTTGACCTTTCATATTTTCATGCATCATCTCTTTATAAAATTACATGATTCTCGAGACCAACTACCGTGTAAATGAAAAGATCATGACTATTGTGAATTGAATGAAATCAAAAAAGTATTCTGGTGACGGATGAATCTTAAAAACCTTGATATTTGCTTGGTGAACTGTGAGATATAATTAGATTACGTAATGTGACATGGATTATCTAATAGGTGTATAAGACGCTTCTAAAGATTTAAAGAAAGAAGAATGACTAAATGAGACAAAAACAAACAATATAAAATGACTCCGTCGGATGAATCCAACATCATGACTACCTACAAAATGACCGTGCACTATCAGTTACACCAATCATGTGACCAAAGTTTGAGATGTTCAGAAAACAAACGCCGTTTATGATTGCTTTTATCGGTTTAACGGGGATCGAATACAAATACTACTCCACATAATTTTAATTCTATACAATACAATTACTAGTTACAGTGATTTAGTTACATGTATTATTATTTGAATGGACCCTGACCAACAATGAACTAGATGGTTCAGAAAACCGAGCACCGAGTTACTATGACTCATCATACGAAATGTATTTCCTTTCCGCTATGCCGGCGAAGCATGTTAGAACAGACAACAAAATAAACAAATACTTCGCATTATTCCTCAACATTCGTATCTCCCTAAGAAGATTCTTTTCAACAGTATGAACCTAACATTAAGTTTCCAGGTTAAAAATTAGGTTTTGGTGCAGAAGGTGAACTTTATGATCATCTAATTAAATCGTGATGTGGGACAAAGATATACTGTAGGTGGATGAATTAGGAAATCGATCATAGAAGCTTTCTCTGCAGTTGTGCAAGTTAAGGAGGAACAAAAGAAGGGTAGAGAAATTTGGGTGAAGCCCACCCAGCAACTGATGAAATAGCTAATTAAGTTCCTGTATTTTTTATGGAGAAGTACCTTTTCAGATGAAATACAGAAGCCTGATTGATCATTTCAGCACTTGCTAGGATGATCTTTAGGGTCACTCAATTTATTATTTTAGGAAGATGAAAATTCGCGACCCACCCTAGCAACAACTGTAATAACCAATCAGGCTACTCTGTTTCATGAGAATCTCACCTCTCTGCTGGAATTAAGAAACCTAATTGGTTATTTCAATCGTTCCTAAGGTGACCAAACCAAACAATTCTTTCTCACAAAGAGAGGGCCATTGCAGAAGCTTTGCATATCTGTTCGTACTCTTCTGCGGTAAACAGAAAAGGTGAGTTAGATATCCCACAAATATGGCAAAAATTAGTGATTCCCATAGACAGTTTCAAATAATATACAAGGAAAAGGTAGAACACAACTTCATTTCATTCAATTTCATATGATTTATTCCGAATGTATTCATCGTTGAAGATTCCAGTGTTTTTTCACTTAGTCATCTCGATCTCTTCAAAAAACATTGGTTTTGTTTTACCAACTTGCCTAGTCGTATTACGTAATACTTCATTGATTTATATACAATCCGCGAACCTTTCTATATGTTACATAATCTATTTTGTTATCACTCATACTTCAACTGTAATCATAAATATAAGTACCTTTATCGTAATCAAAATAACTATTGTTGCTCATTAATATACTTCCATTAAAATTCCAAATATTCATCCTTCTAACATGATTATCAATTCCTACACCACCCGATGACTCGCCAATGGATTGTACATTTCATTGTCGAACTAAATTTCACCACCCTTTTCTGCACAACAAGGATAAGTCACTCTGACCGATATGCTAATTCAGTTATCAGAAGACGGAGATTATCTGAAACATGTGGTGGATTGGTGCTATAAATTTCGAACAGTCTGATCATATATGAACTTCTCAAATGATTTATATAAAACTTAGAAAGGTTGATTAGGCCAATGGAATTATAATTAAGATAAGAACAGAACGAAAATCAGAGAGGAAAACAATAAAAGGTCAAATCACCACCATCAATGGTATTGTATGCTGAGATGAACTTAATACTACCATAGTAGGTTTAGTGTAAGTATAAATTATTTTTGAATACATGAAGAGGGTTTGAATTTATGGTTAGCAATTCCTTCAATAAATCTAAGTCTTCGTCCTTGACCATATCTATGCCATACAGTGAAGAATGTCTGTATATACCAGTTTTGCTATCGATGAGGAAGGACGTTTGTCATCTGCACTTATTAAACTGTTAGAGGTATATTTATTTCTGGAGCCGTTAAGGCACATGTTCATTCTTAACTGCGTATCACGATTAATAAACACAATGGGAAGTGATACACTCGTTCCGATGCTGTTTAGGTTTATGTTGAAGCATGAGTCTTGTTTTCTCCACTGAGGTGACCTTGGACGCGTTTTATATCCTGCTGACAACTGAATTTAGCCAATTCTTCAAGATTAGGGTATTCGATTCACCTCTGTATGGCATGTGATACACACATTTTTCCTAGGGACAGAATACTGATTAGTCGGTGTCAATGTTATGCCAATTTTACATCGGTTGATAAATTTTATTGGATATTCATTTTGTACCTTCAGAAATTCGGCTTCTATTTTCTCTTGTATCATCTGTGCAAATACGATCAACTCTATTAAATAAACACGCTTGTATTGAACGTCACAGTAACTATGGGAACTAATATATTGTGTTGTTCAAGTCGGTTCCCTGTGGATAGACCTTCTGATTGAGCCACCCACCCCCTTTAGACTAATCAGCATGTCTAAAAATGGTAGTTTATCATCCACTTCTTCGTAAGCGAGGCTAATGTGGAAGTGTGCATTATTCATTTTCTCTAATAACCACTTCACCTTCTCAGGTTTTTCACAAACAAAAATAATGTCATTCACATATCTCTTATAAAAGCAACCTTTTCCAATCAATTCTTCGGTTAACTCTTCGAAGTATGACATTCACATCAGCCAACAGGGGACATAAAAGCAACATCAATTTGTCGAAAATATTCGCCTTCGAAATGAAACCGGACAGTATCAGTACACAATAATAGTAAGTCTTCGACAGTTGCAAGGGGAAAAGATTTCTGAAAGATACCTAGTCATAAAGAATATCAAGAGTTTTAGTCGATGGTACATTAGTAAATAAAGAATTCATATCAATATATATATATATATATATATATATATATATATATATATATATATATATATATATATATATATATATATATATATTCTTGTCCCTGATACTGATATAATCTAACTGGTCAACAACTCCAAATGTATCTTTAAAGGAAAACGGCTTCTGATAGTTTTGCTAGCTACTTGGTTACTTCATGTGTGAGTGACAGATACTTGGGAATATTAGGTGAACTGGATTATTAACTTAATGTGTTTTTGGAAGTTTGTATAGGTGTGAATATTCAGATTCCATGAGCTTAAGGTAACAACAATCCTCTTTGTTAATAGCATTCATGTTGAGGAGTTTCAGGACAGAATTCACTCTTCCTTCTAATTTACGTATTCCCTGAGCAGGAACATCTCCCATAAAAAATTTTTCATCGCTGAAGATGGATAACATCTTATGTTTTTGATCAGACTTATGGTGAAAAACTCCCAACCCTTTATCGAGGGCTTAAGCATGATAATATCCGGATTATTTCGAAATCTTTTTCATGTTTTGAAATGCTGAGGAGTTGAATTACTTCCATGTCTCAGAGGCGGATAGTAAAATTGATCAGCAATATCCATTAATGTAAGTTTTAGCCAACTCTAATTATCTAGAAAAGTTGGGACAAGTGTGCTCAGCTAATCATAAAGATTTTCGAACTGAGCATCGGTCACTAGGTTAGAAATTTGTGATGGAGGAATAAAAAAAGTCAAATCCAGGTGGAAGCGCCTCCTCTTGAAGAGGTAGCTGAAATGAAAACAAATTTGTTATGAATTTGTCAGGATCACCTGGAAACGGATTTACACAATTACTAATCTGAGATTTGTCTAAATCAATCCTGATCTTTTCTCTTTACACTTGGCGATGACAGAACTACAAAAGTTAATGAATTTGATGTGGCAAATTTAAAAGATGTCTGACAGTATGGACGAATTCTCTACATTAGATTTAGCAAGTCGAATGAGATTTAAATTATTTGGTTGCAGTTTACTGGAACGTGAAGTTTCATAAAATAGTCTGGGGAATGTATGACTGGAATCGCAAGATTTGTAAAAGTCCAACGTCATTCGTTCATATCCAATTTTGTACTACAGGCTGACCAATTCGTCTAACACTTCAACAGTGTTGAGGTAGTCTTTATTTCAGAAGTTTGATATAATTAACCCCCTTCATAAATTTAAACAACATGATGAGACAATCGGGTAATCTCCGTCTTCTCATTACGTTGCTTAAATGTACCAAAGGTATTAGTTTTTTTAAAGTCATTCACCGACATTATATTGGTCATTGTTCCATAGCATGATTTAATTGGATGATCATACAGGTCACCTTCGGTACCAAAACTTGACTTTGAATCTGGAAACTTAATATCAGGTTCATACTGTTGAAAAGGATTTTCCTAGTGAGATCGAAACGTTGAGAAATAACACGAAATATTTGTTTATTTTGTTACTTGTTCTACCCCGGGATTACACAAGTAAAGTACACCTTATATGATATATTATCATTTCTATTAAAGGATTGGAAGACTTTCAGCAATATTTCCGCTTAACACCATTCATTTTATGATAATGGACGTCATCTTCAAATAACGAGGTTGTTTTGCCACTCTACACAACCTGAGAACGAAAACCTAAAGTTCAACTGAATAAAATAATACAGGATGTTACTAGGATGTGTAAAGTAAAAGCATAAATTGCAACTGTTCGATAACTCAAATATGCGATTTTGTGATATTATGGACATCTGTCTCAAAAGGTAGGAGTTCCCACCAGTTAAGTCACTCTCACTAAATATATGGTGTTATTGTTGTTATGCTTATTATAATTAGTATTCAATCCTAATTTTAGTTGGTTGGGAGGGGGGTGGTGGTAATCGACAGGAAGCTTTGTTCGACCTAGGTTTCGCGCTTGTTAGCACTCGTCAACAAGGTGTATCTACAACCTTGAGGGAATTGCTTTTCTCTGAGAGATTCTAACCCCCTAGTCACTCAGTGTTGCAGTCAGTGACGTTATCATGGAGCTATTCAGACGGTGACTAAGCTGACTGATTCTAATTTTCATCGCATATTCTTTTCGCTTTGACTCACATACTCATTTTAACTCGTTAAGTTAATTTCAGTGTTACGGCTATCAATTCTTTTGCCTACAACATAACCTTTTAGTTACTTTTACTACCACATTTCTGTGCATTTCATCTCTCCCCCTTTTTACAACTAAGGAACTGTTATACTTGAATAAACATGATATTATTGACAAAAAAATTTTGATCACAATTTTTAATAATGTTGTTGCTTATATTATCCCATCGTTGATTGGGCCGAACTGATCGGACATATGGGCTCCTGTGCCAATGCCTCAATATTGCTTGTGTTTGAGTTATATATTATTGATTGATAGTGGCTAGCAGTGGAATACAGGACATGCTTCTCGTCCTATTTGGGACTCATCAGCTGGATGTACCTGCCTCCCAGAGGGCGATTTTGTTCTCATTAGGACTCAAACTGGGTACCAATCGCTTCAGATGCCAGAGCGTTATTCACTGGACCACCGAGTCACGATAGTCACTTCTAGTGCGACAGGTATATTTTTAATGTTGTTGCCTATATTATCCCGTCGTTGATTGGACCAAAATGATCGATCTCTATTGGTACATGCGCTCCTGCTAGGATACGTCGATATTGTAACAGCATTAGAAATATACCCGTCACACAAGAAGTGGCTATCGTAACTCAGTCCCGGGTCCTAGTGTGAACAACACCCCTTACTGGGAGGCAGGTACATTTAGTTGACGAGTCCTAAGTAGGATGAAATGCGCGTCCTGGATTCCATTCCTAGCCACTATCCATCATTAACATATAATTTGTATTTCCTACTTTCATCTGCGCGAAATTCTTGTCATACTGAGTTACAATAGCTTCTGGATAATTTCTCTCACAGTTAAAGTAAGCTAAAGAACCTCTTCAGATTGTAACACTTTAAAACGCCTTGTAATTTCAGAATGTTTTTAGCTCATGAAAACTCGTAAAGTAAACTAATATTTTATTCGGAAAGTTTAGTCGTTCTGACTTTGAACTCTCTTCCAACCCCTCATTGCTAGAATAGAAAAAGTAGCAATACAGACTGTGCAAAAGAGATTACTGGTTGTTGATAAAAAAAGTCTCAGTTACAAGGAAATAGGAGAAACAAGCAAACATTAAATCGTAATATATGCAGCGAAAAGTTAATAAGAGGAAAGACAATGAAATGCAATCAATATTATCGACAGACACGAAGTAACGCGAAAATAACGCAAACAGAATATTCCGATTAAAATGAAGACAAAGCAAGGATGCATCCAAGTTATATTAACAAAACAATCTTCAGTCATATCTTATAAATCTCATAGTCATTTATCGCCACTCTTCTGAAGCCACTGACAAGGAGAACTATATCTTGTACAATTCACTCAGACCAACAGTCAGGAAATTTACAGATTGGTATTATATCTTGGTTCAGCTACGCTCAGCCTTCTTATAAACTAATCTTACTTTAAACAACCTTGTGCACTTAGATGAATGTTGACTCAAAATGCCCAAACAACTACAGTCAATGAAGGTTTTACACTATAAGCAACTGATATCTTATCTCAACACACATACACAAGTGATGCTGTGCATGCAGTGATCGTTAATTATTAAACGTTTTCTCATATCCTCAACCTTTTACAGCTATGGTTGAGAGTTATGTATTAAGATAGTGCAATATTGCACAGTATATTCAACGAATGATAACTACTCAGATAACTCCTCTTATATACAACAGGAATATTACCTTTAAAAAACCGCCATGAATACATTCAAACAGAATAGTCAGTTGCTTTTCCTTTACTTGATTTATTAGATATATCCATAGTCATATCAAGATAACTACACAACTTTGAGACATGCTTTATATAGTTTTAATTTCTTTTTCGCTTTCTTTGTGATGTAGGCAGAAGGATTTTCCATATAACCGGAACACGTGCTGAGTCATTCCTATTGCATGTATTAGGTGTTGATTCCATAAACAAAGATTCAGTTGTCAATCTCTCGCTCCACTCTGCTATGTTAGTTTTAAGGATTTTCACCCTGTTCCATCTTATGGCGTAATTGTATGTATATATGCATATCTATGCATAGCTATGGCAGAGCTTTTTTTCCAAATTCCTTATCCCATTAAGATTTACTAATTTTGACCTAGCTAGGTTTTTGTGCTCGGATAGTTTAGTTGACCCTAGTCAACCACTATGACCCATGTATTTGACCTTGCAATTGACCCAGGGGATTGGATAAACTAAATTATTCTGCCTAACTGAACCCACAGAATCTTCTAACTTATAACGCTTGTTTCTAAGTGAGTCAGTTTGTAGGTTTAAATGCCACTATAAGCCTATCCTTATTGAGAATCCTACCCAATGTTTTTGAGGTGCCTTCTTTGTATGGTAATACTGTAGAGGTTTTGAACTATGCTGTCGCGCTGAGTGATACATTTGATAAAACAGCTAACATGGAATTACATTCCACCACAATGCTCAAGTTTTACTCTTATATTAGTGCTTTCCCCTTAGTTTACACAAGTTTCTCCATACATTAAATTTTACATGGAAGCGTATTTTACTGCACTTACTTAAAAAGTTTAGTTCTATATGGTTAAATATACAGCCGTTATAGAATAACATGGATCTATTTTAATTTGGTGTTCTTTGTCGACTAAGTACAAGATAAGTGTAAACCTTGAAGCTGCTTATGGTCTAAGTCTTAATAATAACAATAAATAAAGCAATGTTTACATACTTGAATCAAGCCGATAATCTATCAGACTGACTTTTGTAAGCACACATACATATATACATATACATAAACACACCCACACTAAAAGTTTCTTAGATTGTAAGCAGCCGATGAGAAGTTTTGAAATAAAGTGCATCCACGTTATTCTACTAAAACCGTTGTTGTTGCTCTATTTAAACTATACGGGAGAGAGAACCACATGGAATTAACCTTCTGTGTCAGTTCATACACAAATTTACCATTTCTATCAAAAAAGGACAAAACACTTTGAAATACATAGGTAACCACTAATAGTTATAAGAGTCTATATGAGTGTAACAAACTTCTGAGAGATATCTAAATGTGGTAAATACGGTAAACTAGAGATGCTGAATCTAGATACCAACAACTCGCTCAGCTAACGTACAGAAGAACATTTATTTCAACCTGAACAGTATGGAAATAGGGACACAGCTCATGGGTTTGTATACAATGGGAATGACATTAAGGCAAACAGAAAAATTAACATACTGAAAGTAGAAGAACACCCAATAGAAGAATAGAGTCCCTAGAAGCGGTAAGAACCAGTGATATGCGCAAAGTGGAAAAAAGTGCGAGGAAGATAAATTCAAATCCCTATAAGGTAAATTTTATGAATTTAAGGCATAAAGTGTTCGTTTTAGGGGATCGCCAGTACATATATAAAATTTGCAAATGGATATAGAAGCCATGCATTTATACTTATGAGACTGATTGGAAAAACTTGCATCTTGTAAACACCTGTCAACAAAACACCAAATCCGAACAGGTTAACAACAGCTGGCTGGAAGAAACTAGTTTTGTCATGAAATAGTTCAGTTTCAAGAGTCTTCAAACGCCTAGAAGTAAAGCAAGGTCTGCAATATTTCCAGAAGGTAGAAGGTTTGACTAACAATGATAACGCTTGCACCTTTAGTACTACACCATGCACGTTTGAATCTCTAAAATATAATTTACTATCAAATTTTCCATTTCGATAAGTATTATTATAATTATGTTTAAAGACCCTTGGAAAATAAACAAAGGGTTCAGCTTATCAAATCGTATTTCATCACGCATACCTAAATTCGTCACTGTTTTTGCAAATATATCGAGTAAACGAACTTATTATTACACACATGTGATTTGTATCAAATACTTTTCTAAAAACAACTTACTATTACTCCAAACAAATGGTTCAGTTTCAGTAACGTCTAGCGCTGCAGCACGTATTCGACCCTCCTTAAGAGCAGCTGCCAAAGCCACTTCATCTATCAAACCACCTCGAGCAGTATTGATCAAAAATGCGCCTTTAAAGATAGAAACATCAAGAGTTTATTACACGAATAATCAATGTTAAACAAACCAAAATTTCAGAACACTTTTTCTGTTCTCTTGCTTACTTCATACAGTCATACAATGTAGATGAATCGAGTAGTCAAATGTAAAAGTTTTGGTGAGTAGATAAAACTACTTATTTATCTGCACACACATTACTAACTACTCATGAAAATATAGCAAATCAAGACAGCATTCAATAGGATGATCATATTTAACAGGCTATGATTTCTAAGGAAGGAGTGCAAGTCATTTTAAGTAGTATATCACATTTCATTGTCTGTTTTAACCCTTATATTCTTGTGGCTTTCAAAGAATTTTCATTATGATGAATAGTGGTTAGCAATAGAATCCAAGACTTGCGTTTTATCCTGTTATATTATTCCCACTTGTTTGTTTCAAGCCATACTGCTTTGTCTTTTGATGTGCTGGCATGAGCTAAAGCATGACACATTGCAACTGAAGAGTACTAAGTCTCATGTTGATATTGGTTGACTCTCATAACGAACTTAGCTATGACAAAAAATTCTTCAACGATGACGTACCACAGATGTTAAACCAAGATACATTCAATTTGGAGGCCTGTGGAGATTTATTATTTGATTTCATGTTGACATTCATCATGGAATAGCATCAGCTGGATAACCATTGGAAACCTAGGAGCACTAGACAGCTGCTTCGTCCCAGTATAGGACTCCTACCTGACGGGGTGATGGGTGCGCACATCTGGGGAGTCCCGTGTTAGGACAAAACAGCTGTCTGGCGCTCCCAGGTTTTCAATAATTTTCCAACTGATATCATTCCATGATGAATAATAACCTGAAATTAAGATACATTCAATATCAACATCAATCAGGTGCAATACCATCTTATTCAATCTTTGATTCTTGAACATCTTATTACTCTATACGCATTAACTCTATTTCTACTAATTTCTCTTCCTCTTGTTAATCTTCGATCTATATATACCGAAATTTGATGACTTTCTTATTCAATCAAAAGTGCATGAACTTGAAGCATTATCTCTGTACAATTTTCGCGAAGATTACTGCGAAATAACAGCAATTCGACGTTACATTAAACAGACTTTCAATTATTTTTTTTCAAAACTTTTAATGTCGACATTCAGCTGCTAAATATTTGCATCCTTTCTCATATGAGAATATTTTGCCTCCGAACAAGTACACACTGTAAATAGCCTACCTGGTCTCATTAACTTGATTGTATGTTCATTGATCATATGTCGATTTTGTTCATTGAGAGAGCAATGCAGTGTGACACAATCACTTTGAAACAAGAGATCTTGAAGACTATAAACACGTTCAATACCCAATGACCGTTCAATTCCATCTGGTAGATAGGGATCATAAAACGTCACATGGAATCCAAAGGCTTGGGCTCGTAAAGCGACAGCTGTCCCAACTCGACCTGAAAATAAGCATATATACAACCGAAAAAGTGTATTAGTCAGTTGCTTTTCTGAACAAATTCATTAATATGTAAATACTTAAAAGATGAAGATGCTATTTACTTAATATTTTCGTAAGTTCACTTTAAAAGGAGAAAAATTCACACCAGTATCAATAATACTCATCACATATAAAAGTAAGGTGTATGCTTTACACAACCAAAGTATGTGATTTCGAAGTAAATGGCGTTAACGGACCAAATTGTGAAAGGTTGATATAAATCCCAATGAATATAGGAAAGGTTTCTAATCAGGCAGATGTAGTGGTAAAAGACACTAAACATCATACGCTAAATTGGACACGATTAATGCTGACCTGAAGAACGGCTAAGATGATGGCTACTAGAAATATTTGGAAAATAACTAGCGAACTTAATATACACACAAAACTGAGGGAAAACTAATGAATCCAGAAAACACATGTAGTGTATAAAACGTATCTCGTTCAGGAAATGAGAACTTTTGACTATAAGTGTTCCTTAGTATTGATAAAAATGTATAAATTTACATGAATGAACAACATAACCACTGCTATGGAGATGTGTACGTAAACAAATTTATAACATGAACAGCATTTAGTCAATCTACACCAGTATGGAACCTGGCATTACTGCGTAACGTTCGAAGTTGCTATACCCCATATCAAAACATCAAGAGAGAATGCACCAAGATCAAAGATAAAGAAATGAAAGAGTAATGGAATTCAGTATGATGACTAAGATCAAATGTTGATATATATGTCCCCTGACATTGATTCTGAGTCACACCATTGAGATTCGCTTGTCACATTGACCTTTACTACGAAGTCAACATTTCTCTGTACGACTCAGACTTTATGGATTTATGTTTCAGTGTGGCCACCTCTCACTTTTTCCATCCTAAACCTACTTCAGCTAACAATATGCAACGGGGCAGACAGTGATTAGACATACATAACAACACATGTTTCAGCCTAACGTGAACAGCAGACACTGACGGCAATGAAAGCAGAATAAAGTCAATCACTTGGCTGGACCCAAGGCGACTATTGATGGCACAAAGACAAATGATACCTATTTTTCCATGAAAACTTTTTATTTGAGATGAAAATCCAAACAACGAAGAATTACATTCACATATATGTCAAGTTGGGAACAACCATCGAAGCATAAGCATAAGGGTACAACTTCACAGTTGTGAATGATTGGTTCATGAAGTATTACACAGATATGGATAAGCTTTAAGAAACTATTCACCGTTCACTACTATTTTTAGAAGACTGTAAAATTTTAAAATCTGCTGCCAATTATTCAGATTCTACCAATAATGTATTAAGATATTTTAACTTTTAACGATTTCGAATGAATGATAAGTTACTTCTGTTACATCTGTTGGATGTAATAATTACATCCAACTTCATCGAAGCTAATTTTTAAGATGGATACTTAATAAATTATGCTGTCCAGCTATATACAGTCCCATGTAACGCGAAAGCTAAATTTCTGTCAGAAGTGTATGTCTTACTCGGATGTACCATCATGTTTAAAAAAACCTTTATATTTCCTAATTAATCTGGTTGAAACAAAAAAGACCAGATTATTCTGTACTGAACGGGATTTAGTAATGTGAATCAGTTTATCTAGGTACATCTACAGAAATCTCCAATTGATAATACATATTCACTTGATTATGGCTAGCAGACGAATTCAGGACGCGCGTTTCGTCCTATTCGGGCTAGTCCGAGGTCGAACAATCCAACCCAGTAAAGTAGCCGAGAATTACAAGCACATAAATAAATAGGGATAATACATAGTTGCTTGTTCTCTGAGCTTAGAAATTTGTCAGTGGACCTTTCATCATCAGGTTAGTCGACCTCACCAGCACCATATATAAAAGTGAAGTATGAAAGCTCCTAAATGTTTTTCGACCTTGAGGGTTACTGGCTTATGGGTAGGGGGTGACCTGACCTTATTTTTGTCAAAGATTGACCTATGACTGTTGTTATCGTCTGATCTAATATCTGATCATTGATTTGCTTGCTTGACTTCCAGTTGACTGGTCCGTTGTTAGTAGCCCGTATATCGGGTCAGTGTCCGTGTCTGTTGATTGTCACTTGATTGAAGTACCATGCTTCAAGGAATTCTCTTGCAGTTGTTGAGCTTGCTTGTTGTGGCGTTTTCAAGTTGTCCCAATTAAAGTTGTGGTTGTGTTCACTTACGTGGACTGGTATCAATGAGGATGTACCGTGTCATTTGACTGTAAGCTGGTCCTCATAAATTATATGGCCTATTCGACGATTTGATTGCTCAACACAGCGATGCTGACAGTCTTCGCAACTAATTTGCAGATCATACTTGTATTGTATTCTTTGGATAATGAACAATGCATACCTGTTGGTGAACTTGCACGTGAAATTGTAACCCCCCCCCCCCTCCCCAATACTTGCCCAGTAGTGAAATCCTTCTTAATGATGTTCTTGGTTAACTAGCTATTTGTGACGTCAATGTAGTTAAAAGTCGTCTCCTTTCTACATTCATTCTTGTATTCCGCAAAATAGAAAACGTTCGTTAACCACAGAATTCTTGGTATAACATATTCGGAATCGGTAATTCTACGCACAATTATTACAAATTTCTCTCAGTTTACAGTGTATAATGAGATGAAATGATGATCTTAAACGAGATAACAGTGAAAAGAGCAAATCAAAATAAGAAAATCACAAAGGGTTTATTCAAAAACCAATAAGATTTTCGTCTAGTGATTTCTCATCATACTAGGCCTGTTCACTTTTCATATTTAATGTGGGACAACACTATATTGGATGAAACAAATATCATAGGGCAGTCTAAGTGATTTCACTTTCACATGAAGTTGTTCTATAAACTAATTACTAATTCACAACCCTTTTGACTTTTACCGTTAGAACTCAGTTTATGTATGGTCTGTTTACGCCTGGATTTCGGCGAAACATTAGTATTAAGTGAAAAATTCCTCATGATAAAATTATTGATCAATAATCATACAATCGACAAGATATAAGTGATTATTGTTCTGAATAATTTTGATCGCTAATTTTTGTAGAGATCTACACCACAAATAATTATTTGTAGCATCATTCGATCGTGTTAAAGTTTCATTCGCTGGGTTAAACCACTTCAGAACTCACAAGTTTTCCCAACAGAAATTCTAATACAACGAATTTGGACCTCAGTATATCAAGGTGACAAGAAAACCGATGAACTTGGTGCACTTTAAACCCTGTAATATAACCACGTAGAAAGGTGAAAAATAGCACTAGATGTCACTTTTTAAGAATCTTCTTTCCATCAGAAATGTATAATTATAGGCTCATTTGATCTGACGAAAAGTACATTTAATATGAATATAAATAATTATATTTAACTGTGCTGTATACGACGGTATGTGACCAGGTGAGTTGATAAATAATTGAAGTGAAAGCCTATCTTATCAGCGGTTAATTCAGTCCATATGACGGAATACATTGAAAGAATCCTTGTAGCTAATATCAAAAAATGTATTCCATCCAACTGTCTATTTATGCATTTACTCCAGGTCGCTTTAAAATAATCTACCCTAACAACCCTTTTATGATGAATAGAAACTAAAACCAGTGAGCTGTAACAGTTAGTACATCAAGAACACTCATTCACTCCATTGTACAACCTTGAAAAACAACAAAGGAAGACATTGTCAACATACTTAAAAGCACTAACGGATTCAAAACTCACAGTACTTTGCTGGTTCTAGTTACCAAAACTCACAAAATTACGAAAAATATAACTAGATGCGAATATATTAACAATAACCCGGGGTATTTTGATAAGATTAGGAGTGCAGTTACGGCTCACTGACTTAGAGATTCGATTCTTAACCATTAAGTAATGACTCTGAACTCCCCACCGGACCATCAACGTTTCCACAAATAGCTTCTACACAATAAGCGGCTTACACTATAGTGTATTTGCCTAGATTTGACTGGTGAGATGGATGTTGAGTGTTAGTTTGAGTTCCTCTCAATGACATTCCCTCTAAAATTTCGCTTTTCCCAAAAGTGTTACATATTTCGGAGCAATCAGCAAAGCACTATGGATCTATTTTATCTGGTTGTTGGAATTCATTAAGAGACTATCTGTTAACTTCAATCTTGCCTCTAAGTAGCTCACCGTGAATAACTTCATTTTTCTCACTGCGTGAAGCAGGCTCACACATTGCCCCCGGCTACAAGGATGTAATAACCATCCTCCAATAACAACAGAGTTAGGTTCCGATATATCCTATTGATTTTAAAGAAAAATAACATGAAGCATTTTATGTGTTAACTTAATCATAATTGCTAAGTTCGTGCTTACTTTCGGTAATACATCATTTAAGTTGCCAAAAATACCTATATCTTAAGGTTCTACAATGTCAAACGAAATAGCTACAGAAATTCTCCAAGTATGTGATACATCAGGATTTTTAGTGGAAATGGAAAAGTGGAATTTGCGATGTTGTTAACTCTGTATTTCGAAAACCGTGGTTAGGAAACTTCACGAAGATCTGATGTTAACTTTTGGGAACTACCACACCATATTTCCAAAAAGACACGTGGCAAATTCAGTCAAAAACGAATAATCGTAACTCATCATCGGTTAGGACATGTAAGGCATCCTTAGCTTACAAACTGACCCTTATACGTGGTAATGATAGGAAAGCAGATACTGACCAAAATCCTGCAGCAACCCAGGTTTTCTTACATATTTAGTTGTCAATCACATACATAATTCGATTCCATTTGTGACTTATTCGAAACCACATGGGATTCTAAGAGAAAGTCGAGAAGTGACAAATATCCACATAGCACAGGCTATAGATCTTGGCCTTCATCATCGACCACTATTCTCTATTTACTTCAAGAAAATCAAGGTGCAATTTCGGTACTGAGGAACGTGATAAACAAAATAACATAATGGCATTATAT